CCCGCCGTCCCATGCCCCGCCCTACCCGGGCACCGGCCACGCGTCCTCCCCCTCGCCTTGGCACCCCGTGCCCAGGGCTAGCCTAGCTTCCGAGCGCAGCGACAGCGAAGCACCTACGTTTGTCAGGAGATGGAAAACTAGACAGGAAAAACATTCCTAAACCTTGAGGTTTTTAGATGTGGAAAAGATAATTGAGAAACTGGCAGATGGAGCTGACATAATAAAAGGCCAATGCATCTATAAAATAGAAAAATATATTCAATTATACCAGAGCACCAGGGACTGTAGACTGCATTAACTGTGTTTTTCAGCCAACTACTCCTGAAGCACTCAGCAATGACACAGTAATACACCGTTATATCTATACATATAGATACGGATGTAGATACCCACACTTTATTCTAATGGTTACAAGAAAAAACACTGAAGACAGTTGTCGTAACAATCTCCTGGAAGTTCACATTTAACATCTCTCAGATACAAATTCTCTTGTCTTAGCCCACACATTTCCAATACATTCGCAGAAGAGTTTTGCTGAGGCCCGATTTCATTTATCCAGATGCACGTCATCAGTCATTAAACATATTTTTCTGAAGTATTACAAAGTACATCTTGACATTTCAGTGTAAAAATAGAGAAAATATTACAAAACATTAATTTGAATTCAGCTGACCTCAGCTGCGTGCATTTCAAGTCTTTCGGGTACACACAACGAATCTACACTATTCCCTTATTCTTTAGGTCAGGAGGAGACTTTCACAGCCAAGGGCTGAGCTGCCGCCGCTGCCTGCACCCCGGTTCGCACCACGCAGGCACGGGGCTCCTTTTAGACAGGGCTGGCGGGGGGACGCCTTTCGCCAGACCCTCTGAAGGTACGTCACCCACCCGCGGGCGCCCAGCGCCCACTCCAGAGCGCACCCCGTCTCCGAGCTGTGGGAAACGGGGGCGTCGGGTCCTCGGCACCAGCTGCCTCGCTCCACAGACCCCTCGCTAACGGCTCGAGTAACTGTGGCGGACGTCAGGAACACCAAAGCGGGACCCGGCGACACGCACACCCCGGCACACCGACGGGGGAAGCCGCGAGCCTCCCCACTCCGCGTCCGTGCGGCCGGAGGTGTCCCAGGCTGGCAGAAAGCACCTCCTGGCACTGCTACGGCTGACGGGAAGCGGCCACGCGAGGCTGGCAGCACCTGCCCCGTCCTCCTTTCTTCTGACACTCTCGTCCTTCCCAGTGGGTTCTGCTTCAGGCACGTGACTCGTTGTCTTTAGGGGGGATTAAGCAGTAATCAGCGAAATCAGACTGGAGGAGCTGGCTAACGCAGGAAGGTGGCTAACACCCAGCACTCTGTAACCTGCCTTGTACAAGGCGGCGTGTAGGCTTGTCTTGAAAGCAAGCAGAGAAGGCGTCTGCTCCCAGAGAGTCAGAAAGTCAGAGATCACCCTTCCTGCACCACAGATGCACTAAAAGATTAAATTAGATGTAATAAATGTTTCTGGACATACAGCTAAAAATGACTTGTATTTGCACTTTTAAAAATTCATTTTTAAATAAAAATAGAAAGATTGTATCAAACAAAAATGCTAACTATTCTGAATAGTATCAGTAAAAAGAAAAATAGGAGGTGGTAGGAAATACTACATTTGAAAGTGTTTCTGATCTGGTATAGATTATCTCATTTCTTACGTTTGTATGAAATCCCACAAAATCCGTATCAAAAGTTAGCTATTGTAACTCGAGTAAGCAACTTCGATATATTCATCACTTTCAACATGATACTATCCAAAGTTTAAAATACCAAAATCACCAGTTCCAGTCTGGTTTATAGTGTGAAGCTTTATTCACTTTCTTCGTCACAGATTTGAGTTAAAAATTCCAGTACAGTCCGTTTTAAAATGATCTCTCCCTTGTTTTTTCTACCAGGAAAACTTTAGCCTGATGGTGGCTATCCTGACACCAGAGAGGTTTTGCTGTCCCGGCTGGCTCCACGGGGTGTATGGGACAACCAGTTTTAGCCTGCGGTCTACACTCAGGGGCACAGGACTGAGGGAAGACAGGGCACTTCTATGGACTCTGCCCACCTTTCCGTAGTGCTGCATTTCCCAGAACATCACTGAAATGTAGATGGTGACTCCTTCTTAAACCATTCTGCTGCACAGGCATTATAAAAGATCTAGGAACTCTTCTGTAACATTATACTACTTTTCAAACAAATAAAGTGAACACGACCCAAAACCCCCCACCCCCTAATGCTATTTGAGAGTTATCTGATTAATCTCTTTGCACTTTAAATTTCAAGAAGGACAGCCAAGGCGATGAAAACACACATACATTTACCTTCAGTGTAGCAAAAGATCAAAGATTAGAAAAACAGGACATCTTAAACATTTTTGAGACTTCAACACACCAGCTGTCATTTCAACTGGCGGTTCTGGTTGCATTATTGCTTTTCTCCTCTGCAGCCTCTTCACAGGGTAAGAGACAGCTGTGGTTTGGGAGGAGGTCTGCTTTTTGTGATCATACAAGGTATCAGCGCTGTCTAGAATGACCAGCAAGTCCCTCCTTGGCAAGACTGCTGTGGTGGCACGATACGTACCGCTAGACAGGACACAGCGTCGAAAAAACAGATACACAAATCGACCACACTTTAAATAGACGAGCGTTGAAACCAGCACGCTCATGCGAACGTCCGTCAAACCCACGAAAACGCTACGTGCATAAACAAAGAAGAAAAGTAGAGAGTTCGGGGTGTCACCTTGAAGTACAGTTTGGAATGTGTTTTTACTTCTTGCCAATCCACACACATACTTCCCAATTTCAATGCTATGCAGTTTCTAATCTACAGGTGAATACTAGCAACACTGAAGACAAACGTTTTTATGTCAGCGCGTGTTGTTCCTTCTCATAGAATCATAAATGCACCCATCGCCAGCATCTTGCAGAGGACATTATTTTCTATTTACTGTAACAACAGCACTTCAAGATTTTGAGAGATACAAGTACAGTGTGTTAGCTTGCCTACTGTTGGAAGAGTGATATTCTGGTGCATCTCATGCTTTTATACCTAGCTACAGCTATACAACACAAAAAAATATTCAGTACCTTCTCACGCACTTGACCATTACTAAAATGAAGCAGTCCAAGCAATACTACTAATTGGCAGTTCAAAAGCTCAGGTGCCAACGCCGTATCTCCAGTTACATCTTAACAGAAAACTACTACTTTCTCACATTAGTCGTTACAAAAAAGCTTGATCCCAGTTATATCACCTTTACCTTAGCTCAGTGAAATGCTACGGCAGGCTTTGGTACTGCAGCAGATGACAGGGGATTACCAAAAAGTACACATTTCAAAAGCTAACGTTAATAACCGCTACTTTAATACTGTCTGGAAGCTATCGTTGCAGTGTTTCAGAGTAGCTTGGTTTTTTGCCTGCGTGTAAACCAAGCAAAACAAAAGCAAGTTTGAGGTTCAAAATGCATCAGTGTAACTGATTCCATGAAATTATGCAGTAGAAAAAATTTTAAAGGGAAATTTAATTATACCTGCTGTATGGGACTCTGTGCCTGAAACAATATTCTTCGCCCAAGTAATTCTGCAAAGATACAGCCTACAGACCAGATGTCAATAGCATTGCTGTAGTGACGGCTGCCCATCAGGATTTCTGGAGCTCGATAATACTGAGTGACAACTTCCTGAGTCATGTGACGAGATTCATCTAATTCTTCCACCCTGGCCAATCCAAAATCACAAATCTAAATTGAGAAGGTAAATAAAAAAATTAAAATAACCAAAACACTTAATGCATTTCAAATAGGTAACCTTCTGGTAACGAAGCAGGAAATTCCAAATCAGCATTTACATAAATCACATAACCTGCTGTAACTGCGTAAGCAAAGGGAAAGGGAAATAGGAAGAAATTACACTACTTAATTCCACATCCATTTAAACTTTCTACAATTTTATTTGAAATCACAGTACATTTTTAGTTGGCATTACAATATTTATAATCTAAAAGATTACAAAACTTTGCACTAAAAAAGCATACATATTGCCAGGCTCTGGGTACAGAGTACTTAATCCCAAACCAGAATTCATTTGTTCGTGATACACCTCCAAATGTCAGAGAAAGATTCCGCCTTCTACTCACTTTGGCTTTGAGAAGTTTTAAAAATTTCTTGGCCCAGAAGGGTTAAGAAAACAGACCAAAACTTTCACAATTAGAATGCTTAGCAAATCAGTGTAAACAAAACTTACTTTTTTTATATTTGGCATGGCTGTACAAGAGGCCCCAGCCCTCGGAAACGCCATCTGCCCAAGAAGCTGATGGAAGAGCCCTGGGCACTCTGTACCGCCCTGCCGGCGGCAGCGCCCTGACCACCACCGCGGTGACGCCTGCCCGTCCTTCCCAGCGGCTGGGGGCACCAGGGATCCCAGCAAGTCAAGCAAGAGTCCTGCCTACCTGGCTTTCACAGGTTTGGGGAGAGGCAGGGAGAAAAGGGGGAAGGACAATGTTTGTTTCATTTACAATTCTTAAAGAACCTGGGGGATTTTTTTCTTTTAAAACGACTTTCAGGAAAAGTGTTCATATTAAATGTTTTCGTTCAAAAAAATAACAAGTGATTGATAATGAACAGCATATACATATGTACATTTTCAATAAATTTAAGTAGCACCTTAAGAACACAGTTGCTGTTCACAAGTAGGTTCCCTGGTTTAATGTCTCGATGTAAAATGCCAGCAGAATGTAGATATTTCAGACCTGAAATATTAAACGAAATTAAAATAAATACTTTTTTTTCCTTTTAAAAGAAGTTTAAGGCTAACAACATTTTTCTGGAAGGTCTTGCAACTCCTGACGAGCAAAGACTTTGCCATTGGCTCATTTTTCACACGATTCTAACTTCCAGTCTGCAGTATACACTCGGTCACTCAATGAAAGGATAAAACTTTTGGAGTATACCAACTAGACAGAGCAAGTAATTGAAGTAGTCTTTTTTTAAAAAAACCAAACTAAACCATCATCTCCCTGGTTATGACATGGACCCCGCTAATCAGAACACTGGAACATTGACACACATCTCTTACTGCTCTGCTTCCCAGTAACAACTTTAACTTCTGCTGCACGAAAATTTGACTTAACGATTTCCTAGGTAACAGCTGCACTTCAGAAATAAACTCAGATTAAACCCAAGCTCATTTGCATCTAAAAAAAATAAATCATGTTTTTCAAACTAAAACATCACAAGCCAGCAGCAGATAATGTAAAACAAGGCTAAGAGAAAACAGGCTCAAACCACAGCAAAGCCTAGGCCCGCGTCAAAGCTAGAGCTAACGAACTTGGGACAGCTGACCACAGCCAGCGGGGCCCTTGCTGACACTCGGGAGGTTACGAATGATAAAGCTCTGCTCCCTGGGTGTGTTTGCTACCCCTGAAGCTGCAGTTCCGAACTTTTTAAGAAAATGAAAGTAACGCAGCAAGCACCTCGCTAAGCAGCACAGCGGAAGAAAGCATACCACCATCAAGTTGTTTAGGCACACGACCCACGGTGGTAGACAAAGCACGGAAAATGGAAAAATGGCCATAATTCAGGTAGGGTCAGACAGAGCAAAAATAAATAATAGCATTAAACTGGGGAACACTAAGCACTCAGGCCAAATAGCCGGGCAAATGGAATGAGAACCCAAGGAACTCTTGAACAAACTTTAACTGGCAGTTTTGCATTGCCATTTGGACGGAAATTAGAAGTTTGAGTGTTCCCCCAGTCATTAAACTCAGTAATCACGGAGGCACAAATGCCTTTAGTCCTTTAGAAGCATCAATCTTTTCTCTAGCACAACAGGTACCTGGAATAGCCCACACTAATTCTGGGTATAATTTAGATTTCTCTGCTTTGCTCTTTATGAATACGAACTACTATTTATTTACTATCAGATAAAACTGACTGTTTACTTTCAGCTTATTCCAGTGAAAATACTCAAATAAAGCCAATGGAAAAGCAACTGGACTAACACTGATCAGATGTTTAAAAGACAAGCACAATAAGCTCATTTCTTGGATAAAAGTTTCCAAATGGATTAAAAGAAAATAAATCAAGTTTAAAATTACAATTACGATAATTTCTTTTAGCTAAAAATCAAACTTTAGTGGACTGTTCCATAACAAACTACACTGTTCTCCAGAATAAATGGGTATAGTTACACATATTTATCAATTTGTCTCAGTCTAGGTGTCCTTTCCATACCTTGATTTAGAAAGCAGTGGAGGACTGTTAAAACACACGCACCCACCTTAAGGCCACTGAAAAAGCCTTTGCAGCTGAAGTGTAAGTCTTGCCATCTTTCCCGTGACTATGACGGGAGGCGGCAGGGCTGCCACGTTCTTAAGACTAGAATAATTAATGCTTGCTATTCATTCATAATACGAAATAAGAAGAACAAGTTTCCACAGGAAACTTAGTGAAAATGAGGATGTCTTGAGAATAAACATTAAGAAATACAAAAAATACTACTACTACTACATAATATCTTAATTAAATTTAAAAGAAGAAAAATTACCTCTTAAAATCTGGTAAAGAAAAACTTTGACATGATCCGAGCTGAGTGGCTGAGGAGAGACGATAATCTTATGGAGGTCACTCTGCATCAATTCAGTGACAACATATCTTCAATTTATTAGTTAAGGCAAAAGCAGAAAGTCCAGCACATAATCTCTTGATACATTTACTCTAAGTCCTAGGAATTTGAGCTCTTACAGGTCAAAGCTATTGAGTAAAAAAGAATAAAGCTTCTTCAGAGGTCAAGTCTCCAGACTCTTACAAGAATGAGAATAAAAAATGGGTTGTGAAAGAAAACAGGTTACTCAATAAAGTAGTGTTTGCATTAAGGTAGTTGTTACAAATTATTGCAAAGGCAAATTACGACTCAGAAAACAAAATTAAATGTTAATATAATTAATGGCATCTCAAAACCTTTAAATTTTCCCTTAAGATCAGTAAGCCACAAATTACAAACAACTCAAGTAGCGTCTTCATGGCGGACATACATCAACACGGTTTAACTGGACAAACTGGCAAGTGCAAGCCTGTGAAAGCTGGTTATCAAAAGTACCGTGCAGGTTGCTACACAATCAGTAATACAAACTTATTAAAATACATATACTTCCCTAAATCTACCCAGTACCCACTATTTTAGCTTCTCAAGCATCACATACCCCTGCATACAAATCCCAGTCATAAAACCTCTTCTGAGTTATAACAGGAGAAGAGAAAGAAAAAAACAAACCCCAAAGCTCTATCTGGAGGAAAAACTAAGAAAACAATCAGAAACCACTATTTCACAGACGTGCAGAACACAGCAATAGTCACGCTCGCTGGTAACTCACACAAATACTTGAAGATACAGAGCTGTATATGCTGTGGCTTATACTAAGGCAAGGCGTGGACTAGAAGGGTATTGTGTTTATTCAGGAAGCACTAAAAATATAATATTTCAAAAATGGAGAAATATGGAAGACACAAGCAGCGTATCTTAACCCACAAAATCGACGTCGTTGCATCAATTTCCTGAATACGTTTCAGTAACGAAACACACACAAACATCCTGACGATAAGCACTGGGGATACCACGGCCACACGCAGCCCACGCGC